CGATATTAATGAAGCGCCAGAATTTTTGTGGTAAAAACACAAAAAAAGAGAAGAATGTTACATTTTATAAAAATACTTGCCACATGTTATATGCATGGTAATCATAATGCAGTGTTTTTTATATGTAGGATATGAAATAATTGTTTCTTATATATGTGCAATATGGGGCGACTTTTCCCCTTTTTCTTCTAAAATGGGTTCCTCACACATAATATCAATAAATACATGATCATATGAAAAAATAATACAATATTAACACAAACCATGTATATTGATAAGAGCACAAACAAAAATTATAATGTACAAAACGGAACAATAAGATACATGCTATAAAGGACAACATCAGCCACATAATACATGCAAACATACAACATCATCACAGAGGTCAATCTAATAGGTATACAAAAAATATATTATTGTGACTATACAGTAAAACACGGAATAATTACGTCTTCTTCGACTCCTCATTTACTCCTTTTGTTTCCGTTTCTGTGGCAACTTCCTCCTTCTCCTTCTTCTTCCAAATTTTATCCAATAAACATTTCCCTGTCTTGGAGCAGCAGAACGCTGCTAGCACGCAGCAATAGACAATTACAATCAGTATGGGTATTCCATACATGTTCGTGAGCGCCAAAAAAAGGTATGCTATTCCAGTGGTTTGCCCCACAATGAGCTTTTGCATAATGGGCATAAAGAATGCATACAGGACTGTGGACACTACTACAAGCCCCAACCATGCTTTTCTTCCCATTTTACAACGTGTCCATTTCTTGACACCTCTTCTACAACTGTTCGCTGCAGTTATATCTTGCATTGTCTTCTTTTTGTGCTGCGGCTTCTTTACTTTGTCTGCGCACTTTAAGTTTCTCCTCATGTCATCGAACAACGTGCCCTTCGGGCGATCTGTCGCAGGGCCGTCGTAAAAATTACGCTTCCCCCGTTTGCCTGCATCCGTTGCATCACTCAACGACACGCTGGTTGTTCCAACTGCACTTCCATCTGTAATTTCACGTACCGTGCCATATTGGCTTGTACCATCACCCGATGATGTGCCTAGTGTACTCGCCTAAAATGTAGAAAAAAAAAAGGGGAATACATGGGATTGTTATGGTGTACAGAATGATGTAGAGCGTGCAAAAAAACATGGGCGGCAGGTTTATAGTTGTTATGAAGAAGTTAAAGGATTATCACAATAAATGTGTGGTAACTCCCCCAAAATACAGTTGTTTGTTTCATACACCGTCAGCAAATGGCCATAAGCACAGGGCTAGCATAAATATAGAAAATTTCACAAGCAACATCATTCTGTTTCTTGCTTTCCCTTTAGTGTAGAAAATGTTTGAAGTGGCGCTATGTTGTTTATATGTATGAGTTACAGAATTGTTTTCTCTGCCACATCTAGGTGTACAGATTATGCGTGTAATACTTCTTTTCAGCGGTTAATGATGAATACTGGTAAAAACAATGTTGTACGCAACTTAATATTCTTACCTAAATATATAAATATGATTTGAATAAATAATTCACGTGCACCCTAATATAACAGAAGAAGGAAGTACTGAAGAACACAGTGCAGAACGCATTTTGGGTACATATTATATGATGCAACATTACTTAAAGTGGTCAACATTTTTCCCAATTTCAACACGGGCTCATCACTCATGTCGCCGTTTGAACGGTGTAATGGGGTCAAATTGTATACACCGGATTATGGAATTCTACGAGTGGAATAGCATTTTGTCGTTTTAAACTGGATATAAAGGTGAAGAAAATAAGCAGAATAAAATCAATTATAGCCCCTTTTACATACAAGAATGGCGCAATTTTTTTTTTTTTTAGGTGTAGAACCGTAGGCTCAAAGTTTGACCTTGTCAGTGTTTACAGGGGATTCTTGTTTTCACGTATTCACATAATTATACATGTGTTGTGGTCGTTTATTATTTATGGGGGTAGTGATTTATATCGTTGTCAGATTTATTACGCGTAGTGATAAATAATAATTGCTGAAATAGAGTTTACAACGTTCTTATGCGTGTATACCCGCATCTGTATCTTCTTTTTGGCAAATTGTGAATGGATTTAATTATGAGTGTAAGGAGAATATATAAATAAAGGGTGCATGAAGGGTGAGATTGTGGGCTTAGGACTTAGGGTTTAAGGTTTGCGGATTGTAACATTTCAGGATTGTAATGTTTTCGGGATTCTGAGGTTTCAGGATTGTCAGGTTTCAGAATTGCAATGTTCCAGGATTGCAAGGTTTGCGGAATTGTAAGATTTCCGGAATTGTAAGGTTTCCGGGATTGTAAAATTTTATGATTGAAAGGTTCCAGCATTGTGAGGTTTCCGGATTGTAGGGTTTGATGTTTTTACGGTTTCACCATTGTGAAGTTTTCGCAATGTAAGATTCCGGGATTGTGAGCTTTCAGCAATATGAGATTGCGCAATAAGGATTTAAGATTCCGTATTTAAGGCTTAATGTTTCACGCTATTATGATTCAAGGATCCGTATGCATCACTCCGAGTTGCGGATTCAAGATTGAGGGTTTAATGTTCACAGGTTAAGAAATTTAGGGGGATTAAAATTTTAGGGCTTCTTTTCTTTTTTTTTTTTTTTTTAAATTAATATACCATTAACCATTATAAATATGGAGTTATGTGAATATTATGCTAGTATAATATATAAAGTTGTTGAGTATCCAAGTATCTAATATATGTATCCCACGAGCCGAACGTCAGTAGCCTCCAATGTACAATGTAGCGGCATTTAGGAATATGCGTCTCTAGTAAGTTTTTTTTTTTTTTTTTTCTTTCTTCCCGCATAATAAACCTTCATAATTACAAGCATATATGCACATTATGCTAGTATTATATATATGTGTGACGCTCTTGTGTACATCTGTGCAATAATGTGCCGTATGAGCCCAAAGTGCGTTGCCTCCAATGTACAATGTATCCGGCATGTACTGACATACGTGCGTAGTGCGTTTTCTGTTCTTTTTTTGTCTTTTCTGTGTCAAGTAGTCCAAATACTGTAACGTTGGTTAGGAGTCCCCATTTTTGGGGGGAACGTTGGAGTGGGCATGGCAACGGTTGTTGGTTCATTTTCCACTCGGTTATATTTTTGCGTGCTTGCGCGTTGTGCGCGTTGCGTGTTGTGCTTGTGTGTGTGCTTACTTTCCATAGGAAAAAGGCAATGACGCCAATACCAACCACTGCTGGCATAAGCGCGGGGGTGTACGACTTGACATCTTCCCACGTGAGGCCGGGCCAGAAGGTGCCTTGGTCATTCATTAGTTCTTTCTTGTCTTCTGTTTTTGTTAAACCACTTCCAGTATCTTCCTTTGGTGCAGCTCTTGGTCCTTCCTGACTACCTCCAGGTTGAGCTTGTCCTGTGGTTCCAGTACCAGCGGAACCTGGTCCTGAGGAACCTGGGTCAACAGTCCCAGTGGAGCCGGGTCCGGATGAACCAGGGTGTTGGGCCCCAGTAGAACCAGGTCCAGAGGAACCTCCTCTGTCGCCACCACCACCAACTTCGGCACCTCTCCCACTTGCACCTCCCTTTGCTTTCCCACCAGAAACACCATCTGC